GACCATGAAGGTCAAGCTCAGAGCCCGACGGCTCTGGAAAGCTGTTGACATGGGCACCGACGTGGAAGAAGACGACATGTCAGCGCTGGAGGCTATCCTCGCTACTGTACCGGTGGAGTACAAGGAGCCGTTGGGGGCGAAGAGCTCGGCTAAGGAGGCGTGGGAGGCTATTATGGCGATGCGCGTCGGTAACGACCTCACAAAGAAGGCGACGGCCCAGCTTCTGAAGCAGGAGTACGCCAACCTCAAGTTCAAGGATGGTGAAACAGTGGAGGACTTCTCCCTCCGCCTGCAGACGCTCATCAGCAAGCTGAAGAGCCACGGCGTCACCATCGAGGAAGAGGAGGCGGTCTCCAAGTACCTCCACTCCACGCCGGCGAAGTACATCCAGATCGCTCTCTCCATAGAGACGATGCTGGACTTGTCCACCCTCACGATTGAGGATGTGACAGGCCATCTGCGGGCGGTGGACGATCGCCTAGAGCAGGCGACAGCGACGAAGGACAGCGGGAAACTCCTGCTGACAGAAGAGGAGTGGGCTGCTTGGAGGAACTCCGGGAATGCAGCCTCCTCCAGTCGTGGTGGCAAAGGCAAGCGCCCTGGCAAGGCTTCTTCGAAGAAGAAGCAGGTCGACCCCAACGCCTGTAGGCGTTGCGGGAAGATGGGCCATTGGGCACGGGAGTGCCCAAATCGCAAGCAGGAGAAGAAGGCTCAGGCTCACCTGGCGCAAGCTGGTGATGAGGATGAGGCTACTATCCTGATTGCGACGTTCTGTGCACTGCACGACGTCGAGGCCGAGGAGAGGGAGGAGGCTACGACGGTGGAAGGACCTGGGAAGGCCCTAAAGACTGTCAACCTCGACGAACCACGCGCCCAAGTTCACCTCGTGCGTATGGGCGCCGACCAGGAGCAGCGGTGGTATCTGGACTCCGGTGCCAACAACCACATGACGGGTTCCAAGGCATCATTCTCCGAGCTCGACGGCGATGTTACCGGTATGGTAAAATTTGGTGACGGCTCAAGGGTGGCTATCCAAGGGCGCGGCACCATCATCTTCAGGTGCCAGAACAGGGAGCACCACGCGCTAATGGATGTGTATTACATCCCGCAGCTGCGTTCCAGCATCATCAGCATTGGCCAGCTGGATGAGCGCGGTAGCGAGGTTCTGATTAAGGACGGCGTCCTAAGGATCAGGGACCGGGAGCAGCGACCTCTTGCCAAGGTGAAGAGGTCCCTGAACCAGTTGTACCTGCTTGACCTGAAGGTAGAGCAGCCGGTGTGCCTGGCGGCAAGGCACTCCGAGGAACCGTGGATGTGGCATGCCCAGTTCGGACATCTCAGTTTCGACGCACTTGGTCGGCTGGGGCAGATGGTCCGAGGGCTACCCCACATCAAGCACGGAGGCGAGCTGTGTGATAGCTGCCTGGCCAGGAAGCAGAGGCGGCTACCTTTCCCAAAGGCGGCCAAGTTTCACGCGAACGAAGCTCTCGAGCTCATTCACGGGGACCTTTACGGGCCGATCACGCCTGCTACATGCGGTGGTCAGCGGTACTTCCTCCTGCTCATGGACGATTGCAGTCACTACATGTGGCTGCAACTCCTGACGAGCAAGGACGAAGCGGCGGGGGGCGATCAAGAAGTTCAAGACGCGCGCGGAGGCCAAGAGCGGCAAGAAGCTCCGCGTGCTGAGGACTGATCGCGGCGGTGAATTCACTTCAGTGGAGTTCACAGCGTACTGCGCGGATCAAGGTGTGGGGCAACATCACATCGTGCCGTACTCGCCACAACAGAATGGCGTGGTGGAGCGACGGAACCAGACGGTGGTCGGCATGGCCCGATCCATGATGAAGGCCAAAGGGATGCCGGCGAAGTTCTGGGGAGAGGCGGTGACCACGGCGGTGTTCATCCTCAACCGCGCTCCGACCAAGGCCCTAATGGGCAAGACGCCGTTCGAAGCTTGGTATGGGTGCAAGCCGAACGTGTCCTTCCTCCGAACATTCGGTTGCATCAGCCACGTCAGGAAGACGAAGCCGAACCTCACCAAGCTGGAGGACAGGAGCACACCCATGGTGTTCCTAGGCTATGCAGAGGGTACCAAGGCGTACCGACTCTATGACCCATGCGGAGACAAAGTGCTTGTCTCGCGCGACGTTGTGTTCGACGAGAAGGCAGCTTGGGACTGGAGAAGTCCGAGCACGGGGGAAGCTGGCGGCTTTACCAACACCTTCGTCGTCGAGCACTTGGTCTTCCACGGCAGTGGAGACGCTACGGAATAGGTGCCACGCACTCCGGGAGGAGAGCTGAGCACTTCGGCGGTAGAGTCGAGCACTTCTGGGGCAGTGCCGAGCACTTCAGGAGGGATGCCGAGCACTCTGGGAGGAGTGTCGTGCACTTCTGGAGGGATGCTGAGCACGCCAGGAGTGGAGCCAGGAGGTTCTGCAGTGGTGGCGACCACTTCAGGACGGGTGCTGAGCACTCCCGTGGTGCAGCCAAGATGTCTTGCTGTGGTACCAACCACTTCAGGACTGAGGCTGGGCACTCCTACAGTGTGGCCGAACACTGTAGGAGTTTTGACGAGCTATCCAGAAGCAGTGCCGAGCACTTTAGGTGCTATGCCGGGCACTCCAGCGTGAAGAGAGAACTCCATTGACGCCAATCGAGTTCACCTCACCTCCAAGTGACATCACTGAGTTCGTGGACGCCTACCACGAAGGTGAGGAGTTGAGGTTCCGCAGGCTGGACGACATCGTCGGCGGCATAGGTCCCTCAGGTCTGACAGGTAGGCTACTCAACGATGCAGAGCTGCTACTCATCAGTGCAGAGGAACCACCCATGTTCGCGCTAGCCGAGCGCGATGGAAACTGGCAACGGGCGATGCTGGAGGAGATGAAGGCGATCGAGGAAAACGAGACTTGGTAGCTCATCGATCCACCTCTAGGATGCCGTCCGATCAGCCTGAAGTGGGTATACAAGGTCAAAAGGGACGAGCTCGACGCCATTGTCAAGCACAAGGCGCGCCTTGTCGCCCGAGGCTTTGTACAGCACGAGGGCATCGACTTCGAGGAGGTCTTTGCTCCAGTAGCGCGCATGGAGTCGGTCTGTTTGCTACTTGCTTTGGCGGTAGCAAAGGACTGGCACGTCCATCACTTGGACGTTAAATCGGCCTTCCTCAACAGTGAACTGGCAGAAACGGTCTTCGTCAGGCAACCTCCAGGGTTCGCCGTCAAGGGAGAGGAGCACAGGGTACTCCGACTGCACAAGGCGCTCTATGGGTTGTGGCAAGCCCCTCGAGCATGGAACGCCAAGCTTGACGCCACGCTGGGCGAGCTTGGGTTTCAAAGGTGCGCAACCGAGCACGCGCTCTACACACGACGACGGGGGAAGGAGGAGCTTGTGGTCGGCGTGTATGTGGATGACTTAATCGTCACCGGTGCGCACACGGAGGACATCAACAGCTTCAAGCGCGAGATGGCGGCTCGTTTTCGGATGAGCGATCTCGGCGCACTCTCCTACTACCTCGGCATCGAGGTGAGATAGGGGAAATAGGAACTCATGCTCGGTCAGAGCGCGTATGCCTCCAAGCTATTGGAAAGGAGCGGCATGGTGGAGTGTAAGCCATGCGTGACTCCAATGGAGGAGCGGCTAAAACTGACGAAGTCCAGCACTGCGGTGAAGGTGGATGCAACACTCTACCGGAGCATCATCGATGGTCTACGCTACCTAGTCCACACGAGGCCAGACATTGCGTTCGTCGTGGGCTACGTCAGTCGCTTCATGGAGGATCCCAGAGAGGATCACTGGGCTACGGTGAAGCGGCTACTACGCTACGTAAAGGGGACGGTGTATCATGGAATCATCTTCCCAAAGACCGGCAGGAGTAGGCTGCAGCTCACGGTGTTCAGCGATGCAGACATGGCGGAGGACATCGACGAACGACGAAGCACCTCTGGTGTGCTCGTCTTCCTCGGGGTCGGCCCCAATTTCATGGTTGTCGCTGAAACAGAAGGTGGTGGCGCTATCTACGTGCGAGGCAGAGTACGTAGCGGCGGCCACAGCGGCGTGCCAAATTGTGTGGCTACGCCGGCTGCTGGGCGAGCTAACCGGCGTGGAAGCTCACCCACCAGCACTGATGGTGGACAACCAGCCCGCCATCGCCCTCGCGAAGAATCCGGTTCTACACGACCGGAGTAAACACATCGACATGAAGTTCCACTTCCTCAGGGACTGTGTCGATGGAGGGCAGATCGTTATTGAGTTCGTCAAAACTGGTCGGTAGCTCGCGGACGTCCTCACCAAGCCGCTCGGACGACTTAGACTCACAGAGCTGAAGGAGATGATCGGATTGGAGGGGGTACAAGGATTAGCAGTAGGATTAGGGGAAGATTGTTAGCTAATCCACCGTTCCCCTTGTGTGAACACAGCAAGGGAAGGCGGCGCCGCACTGGCCCCCTACTGTGACACTGTAGCGCTACAGGTGCAGGCACCGCACCGCTCACCTGCAGCACTGTAGGAACAGGCAGTGGCCGACGCAGAGTTAGCCCTATCAGGTTATCTAGTTACTGTGGTAGCATGTGCGCTGCACATGGACTAGATAGATAGAGTTGTATAAATAGACATGAACGGCAACTCAGTAAAGAGAGTTCAGATTTGCCATCTCACAGACAGGGCTTCTGGTGTCTTGTATTGTGCGTGCTTGCTCTGTTCTCCCTTCTTCTTCTAGCTCCAGCCATAGCGTGTGGGTATGGACAACACCCTGTTCATGGTTGGCACGGCTAGTGGATGCTCGGCAACACTAGCGGGTGCTCGGCAAGATCGGCAGAGTGGTTCACTCGCCTGAGCCGGTGATCCTGTGGGCCAACAGGAACATCCATCTCTACATTGCATAAAATCCTGTGTGGCTTGACTAGATTAAAACAAATCAAGAAATACAAAATCTACATCATGAGAAGCTCCTACCAGAACATCACGAGAAGGCAAGGAACACCTGCAGCATCACGGCAATGAGCACTTGCACCTGCAGCTTCACGGCAACAGAGGAATTACAAACACCTGCAACACCGGATCTGCATCAAGCACCTCAGTGCCCCCTCCGCCGGTGGTGTGGAGGCCACTATGACCGATGGGGTCGGGGTGGAGGCCAGGAGAGGGGCGCGCCGGTGAGGAGACGGCTGCCGCTGAGGAAGTTGCCTCATGCCGCCACTGGATCTACGGCTGCCGTCGCGGCTAGGAGAGGAAGCGCCGTCGCAGGTGGTTTGGGGGCCACCGACCACCGCGCACGCAAGCTGGCTGGGGGCCTCGCCGTCGCCACCAACGGATGCGTCGGGGCTGCGTCAGGGCTACGCGTAGGGTCACCGTGTTCTGAGCCTCATGTTGCAATGCCGAAGAAGGGAGGCCGCGGCGCGGATGCGATCAGGGCCGGCATCGATGTCGAGCTGCTGCTGCTCGTAGAGCCTCCTCTCCGGTGCCTCCCCTTGGCCCACACACAGCCGGGCACGCGTGCTGCCAGCCGGTGAGTCAGCCGCGATGCCCCCGCGTGAGGTCCTGCAGCAGAGCCGCGCCGCCGGCACCATGGCCGCTCACCGAGCTCTCCCTACCGCCGCCGGCCCTCCTCTTCGCTCATCTCCGTCCACACCGGTAGGGGTAGCCTTGTCGCCAGGGGAGCGAGGGAGAGGGGGACGAGCACCAATCGGTCGTCGGCGTATGAGAGAGGAGAGCATTTTGAAATGTTCTGGAGAGGGAAAGCAGGGACTGGGTTCATTATTATTATTTTAGATCTCGTGGAGGCTGACGTGGGATGGATGGGGTACATTGCCTTGGTTGGGTTCGACCACGTGTGGTGGTTGGGTGCGCCTGGTTTGAACTGTTGGTTCGGTGGAACCAGGTACCTGCGCTTTGGGCTAGGGCTTCCAATACCTTTTGAAAGCCCTAAGCTCTCAATATATATATATATATATACTGTTTTGCTATAATACACCTGGGTGCATCCTGTATATAGAATACACCCAGGCCGGCAGGCGCACCAACTTGGAGCAACCAGCGCGTCCAAACGAAATACATGCATGCATGGAATTTTTTGTTGGTTTGAATCTTTGAAACAAAATTTCTCCTAAACTGTAACCCCGATTGATAAATCGTTTGTTGCATCCGACTCAAAAAAAATATTCTGAGCAAAACTAGATCCAATATGGATATATTTTTTATCCTTTAAGCGGGTTGCATGTCAATGTACTACCGATTGTAACTCTGTCTACCACCTAGTTGCAACTAGTTATAACATTGTGTATTATATGCATCTGGTCACTATAATCACGTCAAGTTGCAATTCTGAGTTGCAATCATATCTGAGTAGCAACTGTGTTGCAATTGAGTAGTAACTAGTTGCAATCAGTAGTAATTGGTTTGCAATCGGGTAGTAACTTTGTTGCAACCAGTAGTAATTGTGTAGTAACGAGTTGCAACCACTACTAAATACGCTACAGCAAGTTGCAATTGTGTTGTAGAAGTGATTGCAACTCATAGTACAACATATTGCAATTACGTATTTGAAAAAAAAAACTTCATCAAATAGAAGTGCTTTCATTGCAACCAATATTGCATAAACACGCAAACAGCCTTCATTCTGACCAAGTTGCAATTATGTTGTAGAAGTGCTTGCAACTCATAGTACAACATATTGCAATTACGTATTTGAAAAAGAAAACTTCATCAAATCGAGTGGAGCCTTCATTGCAACCCAGTAGGAGAACACGCCATGACCAAGTTGCAATTGTGTTGTAGAAGTGCTTGCAACTCATAGTACAACATATTGCAATTACGTATTTGAAAAAAAACTTCATCAACATGACCTTCATTGCAACAAGTGCTAAATACGCTACAGCCAAGTTGTAATTGTGTTGTAGAAGTGCTTGCAACTCATAGTACAACATATTACAATTACGTATTTGAAAAAAAACATCATCAAATACAGCCTTCATTGCAACCAATGCTAAATACGCTACAGCCAAGTTGCAATTGTGTTGTAAAAGTGCTTGCAACTCATAGTACAACATATTACTGTTACGTATTTGAAAAAAAAAACTTCATCAAATATAGCCTTCATGGATCTTGTTTTGTTAAGCAAATTTTTTTCAACAACCTACTTCAAACAGAACTAAAATTGGATATATGGTTTAGAAGATATCACATTTTTTCGTTTGGAATCAACAAAAGATTCCCTGCATGCAGGAGCATGTTAGGTGGCATCACGTAAGAACGGCTGGCTGGTTGTTTATATGCAGGAGCGTGGACTCACCTCGTGCTCGCCGCTCGCGCTCGCGTGTCAGGTGCACTCGCTTCACATAATGCATCCAGGTGCATTTTAGTCTCGTCCTATATATATATAGTCCTATATATATATATATATATGGTAAAACATAATGCACTCGCTTCACATAATAACTCCTTACTAAGTGGTTTACTATAACGTTATGGTAAATATCCCCCCGTGTTATAGTAACCCAATTATCGTAAATATGTATTGCCATTATCGTAAATTAGTATATAAAATTATCGTAAATAGAGGTGGTTACAGAATAACTTATTTTGTAGGTGGCTACTGAATATACTCTCCTTATATATATATATATATATATATATCCTGGCCATAAAATAACTTATTATGTGGCCACTTTGAGTTATGATAGTTACTATGCTAATTTACGAGACTGCAGTAACTCCTTACTAAGTGATTTACTATAACATTATGGTAAATATCACCATGAGTTATCGTAACACGAGTATCGTAAAATGCATATTCATGTTATCGTAAATTGGTACAAACATTATCGTAAATCAAGGTGGCTATAGAATAAGTTATTATATGGCCAACTGCAGAATAGCCTTACCAAGATTGGTGGCGCGGCAGGCCCTGCCACGTCAACGGTCAGCCTTTCCGGTCGTCGCCACGTCAGCCCCCTGCCGCGCCACCATGCATGGCGCGGCACAGGCTTTGGCTTTTGGCCGCGCCATGGCAATAGGCGCGGCCAAAAGTGTTAATTTTAAAAAAAGAAAACAGAGAGTGTTAGATTTAAAATTAGTTTTCAAAAAGTGTTAAAATAAAAAAAATCGCAAAATGTCATTTACTCAAATTCTTATAATCTAATTTAATTTGCTTGCTTGCATTCATGCCTTTGCATTTAGTTTTATAGTGTGGAAAAAAATAATTTAAAATGCATAATTAGGGACACAGGAACACTGGGTAGTAAGGCAGAATAGAACTTAAAAGCGTGGCAAATAATTTGATGACAAATCGAGCGTTAGGTGAAGGAAAATGGGGCTCCAGATTATATAAGGCCCAACAGCACATGTTTGCCAAATTTAGGACCTCTTTTGGCGAAGCCCATTCCAAACGTAAAACATGACTGATAAGCCAGCTTACTTGGCCCGTCTAAGGAGCATTATCCCACAGGTTTCAGCCTTTTTTTTGGACTTGGAATGTTGAATTGTTGATTCTAGACTTGCGTGCCCAAAAGTTTTGTGCCCAAGTGGTGCCCCCCTTGATGCAAAAGAAGCTCCTTAAAAAATATATAGGAAACGAAAGTACCAAGAGGAAACAACAAAAAAAAATATTTCGTTCCATATAAGAGGCGTGCATTCTAGTTGTATTAGTGCAAGCCTTCACTACGACGACAAAATGGCCAACACAAATAGGCCGATGGAAGCTATACAAATTTGGATGGTTCAGTGCACTTGTCCATTCAGGTGCTGCAACTCCTATTTGCTTCTTTTGCTCCGTCGAGCTCGAGGCCTACAGTTACAGGTGTAGTGAGGCAGCAGCCAGCATCCATCTGTTGGAGTTGGAGTTGGACCTCTTTCCTATTACCTCCGTCGTGTCCTGCATCAGTTTTCAGCGGTTCAGAGCAGCGCCAGGGGAGGGCTGGTCACTTTCTTTATCTACAATACGGAGTATATACTAAGGCCACGTGTAGTTCATCCAGAATGCAAACTTTGACACTATGCAAAAAGAAGATTCCCCGTCACATCAAACTTGCGGTACATGTATGGAGTACTAAATGTTGACGAAATCAAAAACTAATTGCACAGTTTGGTTATACTTTACGAAACGAACATTTTGAGCCTAATTAGTCAACGATTAGACAATTATTACCAAATACAAACGAAATACTACAGTGCGCTACAAAACCCGAAGATTTCAGGCGGCGCCAACTTTGGTAGCAACTAAACGCGGCCTAACTGCTATATTTTTCGCCATGTTCGCTTGGCTTATAAGTAGTACTTTTTTAGTCAATGAACAGTATTTTTCTCTCACAACAAATCAGTCAACAGTACTTTTGGTCATGGCTTATCAGCCAAGCGAACAGCCTATTTGTTTTTTGAACTTTTTGCGTCTCCTGTTATGGTGTAGGGCTAGCTACTTACATCACCTCTTATATCAACTTCCTGTCATTTATGGCCATTGTGAACTTTTGCACTGCCGTACCTCATTGCCGATTCACTTTTTGGGCATTTTTATATGGAAAACTTAGAAAACACGAAAAAAAGGAACAACTAGCGCCCGGACGTCTGGAACACGACGTCCGTCCGAACACAGCTCCCACACCCGCGCTCGACGCACGCAACTCCCTTCGCCCAGCGCCAAATCCTGCTCAGGTGGCGGCGTCTATCCCGGACGGAGCTCCACGCCTGCACCCGACGCCCACCCACATCGCGCACCAGCGTCTGGAACCCGCCCCTGCGCCTGCACGTGAACCATGGCGATGCCCCGCCAGCAGCACCAGGCATGTCGCCCCCATCCCGCGCCCGCACGTGAACCACAGCGGCGCCCCGGCAGGAGCAGCAGGTAGGTTGCTGTCCGCCAACCACTAGCGCGTATTGCAACATGCGCAACACCTGATCTACTTTTGAAACATAAAGATGAAACATTTGCAACATACAAACTGAAACAGATGCATTTGAAACATGCGTGTATAGCCATAGCAACATACGCAACATCCAAATCCACTTTTGCAACATAAGGCTGAAACATCTGAATCACATGAAAACAAACACTTGAAACATGTGTGTATAGCCATAGCAACATATGCAACATCTAGATGAAAACATTTGAAACACGCGTCTGAAACAACCGAAACACTTTAAGCATAGGCGAAACATGCATATATTGTCATTGCAACATATGAAAAATCTCAGATATACTTTTACAACATCCAGATCAAACACTTGAAACATAAGTCTGAAACGCCTGAAGCACTTGAAACACGGCGCCGGCGCCGGCCATGGCCTACCCGGTGGGGGGGACTACGGAGCCAAGACAAACTCAGTTTAAAAGGCGTCGAGAGCAACGGGCAAGCAACCTCCTAGTGGCGCCGGGTGGTGGTGGTACTTTTGCATGTCATGGCGCGACGAAGCGAGGTGGATGGGTCGTGGCGATGGATTTCTCCGACGACGCGGATTGGGTCTTGCGCGAGATTGGGGCGGGTGCGGAGCGGCGACGAGGCAGAGTAGGCGAGCGAACAGATGACGGTAGTGGTCGCGAGTCGGTCGCGAGTGGGGGAAAACGTTCGGGAATGGAGGAATGAGCATTGCTTGTTGGGCTCAATCCATGCGCAGGCCCAGGAACCGAGACGTACGGACTACACACCCGGACGGACGTCAAAGCATTTTGGAAGAAAAAAAAAACCGCACTACAGCTAAAAAGGAAAAACGTGCACCAATATTGAAGTCGAAGAGAACTCGACTGAGCGATTGCCTGATTGGTGCACACACCTTGACCCTGACAAGTGCAACAACGGCAAAAGGCACTAGCACTCTAGCAGTACCTTGCCTGATTGGTGCCCACCACACCATCCATCATGACAACATGCAATCACATCAGCACTCTCTAATCTATTACCACTATAACAGCATTGTGTGTATAAATATATATATATTATACGTACAAGTCCAGGCTACACTCTCTACCTCTCATCTCATACACTCAATTCACCTCACCCTCAGCAGCTTTGCATTGCATCCCGTTTTACAGGCAAAGAACGGCCAAAGTACTATCCCAGGCTCCCAGCTCGCGCTGGCGCCGCGTGGAACACCACAATGCTATTGCTAGCACACGAGGGAGGCCCGGAGCGAGTGCGTCGTGGAGAAGTTGGTGCACGACGCCCAGCGTATGACGGACTCGGACACCGCCACGTCCAGGTGCTCCCGCCCGCCGGCGCCGATCGTGTGGTTCCGCCTGCCGTTGACGCCCCGCGGCGTGGCCCCCCTCCCCGTCGCCGTCCTCAGGGATGAGGCAGCCACCGTCACGTCGCAGGGAGCTTTCTCGGCCGACGACGACGGTTCAGGCTCACTGCAATCTTGCGCGCAGAAGAACGAGAAGCTCGGCATGGAAGCCACCGGCAACGGGAACCCTCCGCCGGGCAGTTCACAGGGCCCGCCAAACGAGAACCCGGAGCCGCCGGAGGTGGAGGCCGGGCAGGACGACGGGTCCAAGTCGGTGACGAACGCCGAGAAGGACGACCTGCAGACGGCGGCGAACGTTGGCGAGCAGCATGCCTCATCCTCCAGCGTGCCCTGGCAGGCGATTGGGCCGCCTGTGTTGAAGCTTACGTCCCTACTCCGCGACGCCAGCGGCATGGAGAAGGAGCACGAGCCAGGGTCCTCCCGCCAGAGGCCGATCTCGTGACAGTGCCTGCAGGAGTCTTGTGATTGGTCCGCGTGTTCTTGCATCCACGGATGCTCTGCATAGGAAACATTTGTTTAGATTAGAAGAAAATTAAAATCCACATGGACAACGGCTGCTATGGAATGGGGGAGAAACCATCATTAACAAACAACAGCTGATCTGTACTGTAAGGTCCTGAAATGATGCCATGACAGCCAACCAAACCAGACTCCATGAAGGGTGGAAGAATGAATCGGCAAGCTTAAAGGTAACATGTTCCAGAGAAAGGGAAATTTAAAATCTCTGTATGGTAGCGGCAGATCTACCAGAATATGACCCTACCACAAAATGGCCATGGCTGCAATGACACCTGTCCTATTCCCAGCCTTGCAAGATTATATTACGAAACACCAGCAGCTTGAGCTGGTGCTAGCTCAGAGCTTAGCAGCAAAGCTACTCTACAATGCTTTGTTTGATTTGTAACGTAAAACTAGCAAAAAAGAGTTTCGAGGAACTAAACAAGGTTGGACATATTTTCGTTGATCTCTATATATGGTGGACAGCTCAATTGCCTGAATCTATTTGCAGGAATCATGAATCAGATGAAGATATGAAGGAAAATACTGGAAATTTCAAATTGGTGGTTTCGGAAACAAACAGACGAATCCATGCCTCACCTAGAACCTGCTTGGCCGTGAGCCGTTGTCTAGGGTCGCGCCTTAGCATCCCGGTGACTAGCTCCTTGGCCGAATCAGAAACCCTATCCCATTGATCAGAAGGGAATCGCAGCTCCATGGATCTGATGCACTCGAAAATCTTGGACTTGGTTTTCCCCCAAAATGGGGGGATGCCACTCAGGAGGATGTAGAGTATGACCCCCGCGCTCCAGACATCGGCGGCCTCATTGTATCCACCGGAGAGCACCTCTGGCGCAATGTAGAACGGGCTGCCTACCATGCCGCTCAAGCTTCGACCTGACCAAACCCAACATCATCAGATTCTGATTTGAGCCCCCAAAGACAGAGTAGCATTGACTAAGTGTGTCTTCCATAGAATTGAATCATTGACCAGACACGAACCGTACCAGGCTGGATGTAGGTAGCGAGTCCAAAGTCAGCGAGCTTGATCGGCGACGAGGGCGACTTGCTGACGAGGAGGATGTTCTCGGGCTTGAGGTCCCGGTGCACGATCCCTTTGCTGTGGCAATGCGCGACGACCTCCATGAGGTATCGGAACAGCACGGCGGCCTCGTGCTCGGAGAAGCATCCGCGCTCCTCGAGGCGGTGGAAGAGCTCCCCGCCGGCGCAGAGCTCCATGACGAGGTGCACGGAGTCGCGGTCCTCGTACACGGCCTTGAGGTCGACGACGTTTGGGTGGCCCGCGAGGCGCGCCATGACCTCGATCTCGAGCTTCACGCCGCGCACGTCATCGGGGGACAGGAGGCGGCCCTTGGCGATGGACTTGCAGGCAAGCGCCTCGCCGGTGACGAGGTCGGAGCAGGAGCGGATCACGCCGAACTGGCCCCACCCCAGCTGCGGGCCCAGCGCGTACCGGTCCTCGAGGCAGGAGACGTGCGCCGCCTCCAGCAACGCGCCCCGCAGCCCCGGCGCCTTGTACGAGTTGTACTTGGCATCGCCGTCGACGCCGCCGCCGCACCCGGCGGCGGCCATCGCGCTGAGGTACCACACGCTGGCGAACCCGGCGAGACCGAGACCTCCGCCGCCGCCCGCAGACCACTCGCTCCCCCCACCTCCGCCCCGAATCTCCAAGCCCGCCGCAAGCGAGGCTCCCGAATCTCGCGGCCTCAGCTCAGGTCAGCTGCGCCCTCCCTCCCTCGCTCCCTCCACGGGCATTCCGCGCACGGCTGCCGAATCTGCGGCGAGGAAAAGCAAAACAGCAAGGCCTTCAGCTCTCCAAGCCCCAAAATCGCGGCTTTGCCCCAAAAAAAAAAAAAAAAAAAAAAAAAAACCAGCAACGCCGCCCCGCGAGCTCGGGGACCCGGAACACCCGCGGCGGAATTCAAAAATCGCACCGCGAGCTCGGAACCCGCGCGGCCGGGCGGCCAGCTCGCCGGAGGCGCGCCCCGCAGCGGAGACCCCGGGCCGAGCGCGGGCGGACACGACTGAGCGCGTAGAGCAGATCGAGCCGCGTCTCGCTCGGGACGGCCTCGAAACCGCCGCGCCCCGGCCTCGGAGAAACAGGTAGGAAACGCACTCACCCGCGTCGCTCGTCGCCGCCGCCGGCCGCGGGGTCAGCTCCTCCGAGGGCCGAGGCCGAGCTCGCGGCTTCGCGGCACTCGGGCCGCCAGGCGCCAGCGCAGAGAGCGAGGGAGAGGTGGTGGTGACTGGTGATGGTCCGCTCCGCTCCGCTGGTGGTGGGGAGGCGCCCCCACTCTTTGATAGGGCAACAAGTAGTTGGAGCAGCAGACTAGCAGCAAAAGGAGCCCGAGCCCCCCGCTAATCATGTGGTTAAGCTTTGTTTATCCATGGCTTATTTCGGCTTTTTTTTTAAAAAAAAACATTTATATCTTGGGCTAAGCTTGGAGGTTTGCTCTTGTTTGACCTTGCTAATATAAAAGCTACTGATTTCCTTTTGGTAGAATTTTGTAGGATTGCTGCTACGAACGGAGGGGGGAATTGTTCCAACGTGGTTGATTTCGAATTAGGTGTAGTGGTTGGACTTTGGAGGGACAAGGGGGATACTCGGTGGTTTTTTAAATTTGTACTGCTTTTGCTTTCCGTTGCTTCTCTTCTCTCCCCTGGAAGTAAACTGTACGTTGTGGGATTTGGTGCTCTGCAATCGTCTCGTTCGTTCGTTTGGTTTATAAACTATATTTTTTTAGCTAATAAATAATTTTTTTTTTCATATTAAATCAACCAACCGTATTTTCAATTAAAACTTATCAGCCAAACAAGATCTACCTGCCTGCCATCCTTGGGCTGTGAGCGTGATTTGTGATTGTGAAATGTATCGTGTGTGACGCAGATCGTCGTCGGCTAACGACGGCACATGCACGTCTGTGGTGTGTGTGCTTGCTCCAGTAAATATCCAGGTTTTATGTTGCTTTCAGTTTTGTTGCTGCTACCTACTGCTGCTGCTCGTTAGGAGTACACTTGTTTCCTACAGCTGGGAGAGTGGATGCATGGAACAAGCGTGCCCTCGCCTAGCAAGTGGCTTGATTTGTCCGCTCTTTGTCAAAAAAAAAATACAATTATAGATTTAAGACATGTCAAACTTTTAAATTTAATCAGGTTTATAAAATATAATACTAATATTTATATCTCTAAAGTTTACTATAAAACTATATTTTATATACTTATTCAGTGTCATAAACATTAGTATTTTCTTATAAAGTTAGTCAAACATGAATCGTTTGACTTCTTGAGAAGTATGAACTGCAATTTCTTTAGATAAAAGAAGTATCTTTGTCGACTCAAGCTATGTACATTGTGTGCAGTGTGCTCTGAAATTTATGGGGCCGGTTCTATGTTTGAATGCTTATGCACAGACATGTGTCGTAAAGCGTCATAGATGTTCACAGTTGTCCAAAAAACTGTCTCTAGTGTTTTTTTTAATTTGAACGGTTTTTAAGTATGATTCTTTTATAAATGTTTGTTTCGGACGAGGGAGAGAGTCCTAAAATAGGGTTATGTGTAAAGTTGGCATTTACGCTAGTTAGGCTCAGTTAGGAGGCATGTGTAAATGCTACCTTTTTAAATAATGGTTGATTTGTAATAATCCATAAAAATGACAATTACCGCGCTGTTGTTGGGACCGTTGCGACAAGAAAAGAGTTCACGCAATAATGGAGCTAAGTGCAAGGTTGAACTAAAATAGTACAGTGTACTGTAAACAAACAGGGCCCAAGCGTTCAAACAAATTTATTATTGCATCAAGTTCTTGGCCCCTCCCTCGTGTGCCGGCAAACCACCCCGCGCCGCCGCTGCCCTCCTAGACCTCCGGCAGCCTATGGCAGAGGCGCAGAGCAGAACGACCCGGGCGCCGTCGAACCTCGGGCAGGGGAAGGGAAGACCGCGGCGCGACTCCCGTGAGACGAGTCTGGAGTCTGGAGGAAGATGGAGAACGGGTGGTGTTGGACGCCACGATGCCGATTAATGTCTCGACCCTCCGGCTCGGCGCCGAGATCATGTCACGTCTGCGCCACGCAAGCAGCCACGTCAAAGACACGCAGAAAATGACCCTGGACCTCGGCGCCGAAGCAATTGACGCCGAGACATATAAGCTCGGCGTCAATTGTCGCAGCGCCGAGGTCATGGTCTATTTTTTGAAAGGATACTGTCAGGGACATATTTGTGAAAATCTTTTAAAAAAATGGCTGAAAAACAAAAAAAAAATCAACCGATATAATAGGGAGTAAACGTTAGGGAGAGAAGCTAAACAAGACCCATAAGTTCATATCAAACCAAACCAAATGAAGCCGTGTCGTTGGTAGCCAATGCAAAAACGTCGTCACGGCCTCGCTCGGATTGCCAATCGCCACTTGCGCGTAGTCGTCATGCCGTCTCTGTCTCGCTCTCGGAAAGCAGGTGCTTGACCCCTGGCCTGGCCCCCTGCCGATCCGTGTGGTTCGTTTGGCGCCGCCCAAAAGCGAGAAAGCGAGAGGCGGCATGCAGGCAGCCGGCCGAGGTGAGGCGCAGTGCAGTGTCTGCTCGATATCACAGGCTGCAGCAAGCCAGCAGGCCACCGGCGTTAACGTTGCTTCCAGCTTCGGCGACGTGAGTCCGTTGCCTGGCATCAGCTGCGTGCGACGACGCCAGGTCGTTCTGGGTAGTAAGTAGTTGCTCGATCGCCATGAGTGCGCGTACAAGACAGCCAACGGCAAACATTCTGTATATAGGGTTTTTTTTTTGGCAGAGCTCTACTAGCTATTCTTAAACTGGCTTCGGCTCTTGATTATTTTGGTGGAGTGAAAGCACTTTGTGAAAAACGTTATTAGCAAAATGGTTTTATATATATTTTAAAGAGCACATGCTTATATATAGAAGCTAAAATTTTTGGTTTCGGCTCGTAACTCAAAAAAGAGCTACGGTTGCTTGGTGGTTTCCAGGAGTGAAGTCGTTAGCACCCCTGTTCTGTATGACTTCATGAGATGCTGAAGTCGGAGCGGGTTTACAAGCCTTGCCAAAGGGGTGTATATACTTTTGGGAAACATCTGGGCTCAAGTGATTATAGGCTATAATAACATACCGACTAGTGGCAATATGACGCGTCTTCTTCCTCAATTCGAAGGATACCGAACGGTTGCTTTAGGAATCACGTATAATTTAGAATGAAATTAGACTACTTAGGTCCTTTGGCATGACAATTCTGGCTTCTTGCGGCTCATTACCACGGAGACATGTCAAACGGTCATCGAAAAAATGGCTACTTACAAGGATCCTAAGGAGCCTGAGCCGTTTTTTTTTTAACAAAAGGACATGAGTCATGTCGAACGAGCGTCTAAAAACAGCTCCTTCCAAGGAGCACGGATGAGCTAGAGCCATTTTTGTATTGAGGACCAGAGTTGTACTAAATAATCATCTAAAAATGGCTTCTCTGAGCTCCTCCTCAAGAAGTTGACACGAATTAGGGTCTGTTTGATCCCCACCTCTAAAGTTTAGAGCTCTAAAAACTTTAGAGCACTTTAGATCGCTTTGAGGTCTAAAGTTCTAATATGAGATGGGCTAAAATTTAGAGCTAACTTTAGACCATCTGTTGGAGGTTTAGCTCTAAAGTTTAGAGGTCTAAAGTTTAGAGAAGAGAATCCAAACACACCCTCATTACAAAAACTGCTACTGGAGCTAATTTGCTGAAATGTTTTTTTTTAATCGGCTTTAGCTCCACTAAAGAAGTTGCTCCAAAAGAGAACTCGGAGTCATGCCAAAATGACCCTAATATTTACTTACATAAAGGGATAAAGTGTTCATAAATGAATGTTAGTGTATGGTGTAGCAAGTTGACGTGAACAGCTAAACACATGCTAATAGATGATGTGGCTCACCGATGTGAAAATATAGCTCATGTGAAGAGATAGCTATCAAAATTACATATGTTACTAAGCTGCTAGTCTGCATAATTTACATGGAGAGATAGATATGATATTGGGGTTTGTAAATACTATAAGCTATACATAAATTTGTCCTTGATTACTTTTTGGAAAAAAAAGGAAGAAAGAATAAGAAGCTCTAAGTGCAATGAGCACTACTGGTACTTTGATTTGTTGTAAGTGGCCTGCACGGAGAATAATTCGGGTGATTGCGACGATGGTGTCTTTGAGTGCTGGGCGTGTTGGTTGGAGTTCAAAGTGGAGCAACACAGCATTATATATTCTTTATTTTATTACTACAAGCCTTTTTTTTTTGGAATGAGGTAGTAGGGAATCTTGATACTGGATGCTGGGACGGGTTGGCGCATCGCATAGCTGCGGCACTAGCACACACCTTTGTATTTACAAAAGCAAAAGGACCTGATTTGTGTGCTTATCTATCTATCGGCAATGCTTTTAATTCCCTCTAATGCAACATAGCATGAGTCACAAGTGCTACTTAGTACTTTTTTTTGGAAACTACTCTCTCGGCTCAAAGTTATAATTGGCTTTTTTAGGTACATATCATTTGCTATATATCTAGACATAGCGTTGTATTTATGTGATGTGGCAGAATCGTCCGAA